TACTTTCACTGGCTCCGGCTCCGGCTCCGGCTCTAGGAGGGCTTTCTCACCTCTTCCACCTTTGCCCGCGACGATGCCAACGATGCACAGCAGGAAAAAGGAAATAAAGAAAATAAGAAAAAAAAACAAGAAACAAATGGCGAACGCGCGCTTTTTGAAAAGCCCTTAACAGCCTTAATGTGTAATAATGGGAGGACATCCCCCCGCGCCCTGGACCCTCTGGATGCTGCACCGCTTCCCCGTCGCCCCGCCACCAGCAGCCGATTCAACGTTATCTTAAGTGCGCCTAGTGCCAGCCCAAAGGAAATGTCACGGTCCGTGGCGCGGCGCGCCGTGGCGGGGCGGGGCCGGAGCGCTTCAAGTAACGAATGACCTCCCCGCCGCCCCTCCCCACCCCCTTCGTATCGTCGCCGGGCCACCATCACCCCTCACCACAGAAGGAGAAAATATCATGAGCAGCCCAGCGTCAGTGTTTGTGACCCGGCCAAGTTGCACAGTTTCTCGTACTTTGGCGTGATTAAAGAAGAATGCGAGGGAGAGAATGTATTTGCCCATACAACAATATCGAAAATAAAACACACACAATCGCAAACTAATTTTTCAAAACCCCTTCCAGATGCTGAATTTCCTCCATATTTTTGTTTTGAATACTTACATGTAAACAGTTTTGCTCGAAAATTGCAAGGAGGTGTAAAGAGTTGCCAAGGGTTGTACCTCGAGTAGTAGCAGACTGGGTAACTTCTGCAGCAGCTCGGACGATGTTGTAAGGGGGGTGCAGAATAATTGTGGGGGAAGTGGGCAATGAAAACTTGGCAGGCTTGCCAGCAACGAGAGGGAAGACAGACAGACGCAAGGGAAGAAGGGCGCCCAGGAAGACAGAATAGGGGAGGTAGGCGAGGAGCGGGGGGCATGGGGAGGGGGTGGGGATGGGACTGGTGACGCGCCAAACTCGTGATCTGACTGCGGAAATCTCAAGGCAAAAAAAGGGGGCGTGTGTAAAGGGGTTGGAATGCTGAGTTGACAGGGCCGCAGGGGGGCAGGGCGAGGGGCGGGGCGGCGGCCAGGTAGCCACGGACATTGATTCTGTCCGGAATACCTATTTGGTCCCGACCGGGTCTGCGCTGCCAAGCCGGGCGGTGCTGTCTCAGGGCCTCCTCAAAACAGAGCGCCAAGCTGCTGCTGCTGCCGCTGGGTGCTAACTCTGACAGTCGATGACTGGCCTGGCTGAGAAAAGTTGTTCGACGCAAGGCGCGTGCGCGCGCGCGCGCACGCACACACACACACACACACACACACACTTTCTGAAACTTTCTTTGCAGGATTGTGTTTTGGGCATCTGCACCTGCACTGCCAAATTTTCCCGACGGTATAATTCTTTCGTAAGTTGCAAACAAACACAGTTTCACAACTGAATGAAAAAACACAACTTTGTTAACAGCGTAAACAAGCAAACGCCGCAACACGAAACAGCAGACAGCAAACAGAGAAGGAGGAATCACCCCCCATGGTTACTTGCAGCATGTACCGGTACCGAGTGCTCCCCCGGGTGTTTCAGAGCAGACACCATAGTGTTGCGGGGTTGCCTACTCCCTCCGACGACTGTAAGAACGCCATGGCCCCTACGGCTAGCGAGCAAGCGAGCATGCCATCCCGCAACACTGTGGAGTATTTTGAAACGCACGTTAATTTTTAGAAGATCAGAAGGTACTCGTCAATAACAGTTCAGATCACACTACGGGGCCACAGACCAGCCCCTGTCCCCAGCACCATCGGCTGACGCAGATTGGCGAGTTTGGGGCGGCTCACTTTTTCCGCTCCCAGGGGAGGTCCTTAGGTGCACGTTGACTCACCCACCGCGCGGCGTCGGCAGCAGCCGGCATTCGTCTCTTTTAAAAAAGTAGCAAGTGGCTCGTGCCCCGGTGTGGGGGAGGGAGAGGGAGGGAGGGAGGGAGAGGGGGAGGGAGGGAGCGGGACCGTCTGGGGCGTAAGCGCGGTGACACTGTGATCGCGTGCCGGCCGAAATGGGCCAAAAAATTGCCGCTTAACGTCAGCTGGGCCTCGGCTGCGCCGTGATGGGGTGGGAGGGCAGTCACGGCGGGGCCCCCTCCCCCGCCCCGGCTCAAGGGTGCGCGGCCGTGTTCCACAACCGTCAGACACTTTGCTGCCCTTCCTGATGAGCCGGCCCGGCGTGGCGTGGCGTCGCTCCGAATTCAGCCCTTTAATTAACACATTCAAGAGTCCATTACCTTCATCAGCAGGGGGGGTTGGTGTAGCGGTCCGCACAGGTGAGCGCGCGGCGCGGCCCGCTGCTGCTGGTGGTTTTAAAGGTCACCGGCGCGGTGGGGACCTCCAGCCCGCCCAGGCCCCGGCGGCGTGTCACCCCCTTCTTTGGGGCTAGTGGGGCGTGGAGGGGCGTGGCGGAGGGGGCGGGAAACAGGAGTGCCTCGTCATGACCCTGTAATTCGCCATGGAGCCTCAGCGTCGCTCAGTGCAGCCTTAACCCCGACCCCCGCCGTGGCCCTCTGGAGGGGGAAGAGCCTCCCTCGGCCGGGGCAGCCAGAGCGCGCGCGGGTGACTCCGCCGACTAGGCCATTCTACTAATCTACGGAAGCGGTGACCCGTGGACAAGAAATGGAGACCACGGCACGCCGACCAGGGGGGGAGAACAAGGGGCGCGTTGGACGCAACGCCCCGCGCGCGCAAAACGCTCCAGACAATATCTCTCGCACTCTTTTACATTTATGTGAAACTGTCTTGCTTCTATGCGCGGCTCGGTTTATGGGCGCCCGTGGTGGAGAAATTACACAGATGCTTTAGTTATTGCGCAGTTTTTTTTTTAATCCCCGTTTAGAGACTGCTTGAGTTACAGGAAGAGGGGTCGGGAGAAGGGGAAAGGGGGAGGGGCTGATTAAGTAAACTGTTAAAATACCTACGCAGCTTGCTACGGCTTCATAGACCATAGATTCATAGACTTCATAGACTACACATTTAAAAATTACACCCAGAAGACCGTTTAGTCCATATAACCAAATTCAAAACCGACGAAATTTTAGCTCTTGGGACTAAAATTTTATTCGTGGTGATGAAATAATTTGGTCTAGATGACTTAATTTGATTGGTGCGACTATATTTAGTTAAAAATAGGGTTACTAAATTTTAGTCGGTTTTAGGAACTAAATTTTGGTTCTTACAACCCTGATTTAGTTGTATCAACTAAATGGTTCTCTGGGTGTACCATGATCTTGAGCCGATCGTACAAATTGTTGGTAGCGCGCAACATTCGAGGAATTGAACAGTGTAGAGAGACCCACTTGCACAGTTGCTCTTGCAGACAATTTGAAACATATGGTGCTTATGGGGGGAGCGTGACAGCGGATAAGCGCGGAATCATGGACATGAGAAATATTTCGGGTCGTCTTTTTTTTTCTCCACCGGAAAGTTCTGACTTCTCGAGTGGGAGGGAGGGAGGGAGAGAGAGGGAGGGAGAGAGAGAGAGAGAGAGAGAGAGAGAGAGAGAGAGAGAGAGATGAACAGAGCGAAGGGGCAAGGCTGTGACATATAGCTGCAACGGCTGCACGCCTGACACCCTCGCTGTGCACAGGCCGCGCGCAGCAGTGGAGCACGTGACCAAGAGGGGTGGCGCGAGAGGTGAGATTGGCCAGATCACACCCGCGACAACACTGGAAAAACAAAGGTGTTGTGTTAAGTCGCACCTCTGCAGGTGGTTTGAGAAATTTTAGTTGAATGGCTTTTCAAACGCACGTAGTTTTCACAATCCCCAAGAAGGTTCGACTTTACTTTAATTATCTACTAGTCCATGCATGCATTCAATTTAGAATCTGGCTCGCGCGCACAACTCTGGGGAGCACTCGGTACCGGTACATGCTGCTAGTAACTTTACTTTAATTATCTACTAGTTAATGCATGCATTCAATTTATGCTTTAGATGGCTCAATGTCGAGTCGAGGCTAACTGGTAGCTTTCGATAGCTTCGGCACAGGAGACACTTCAATCGACACAGGCATTCAGCTGAAGGCAACAGGAAGTAGCGCAGCACCTCTTTGTTCGACAATCGGGCTTCGCACACATGCCATGCTACTTCACTCTCGCGGGAGTGCTCTCTCTCTCTCGCTCTCTCCGCTCTGAAGCAAGCTGTGCTTACGGCCTGTATTTGCATGTTTATGACGGAGTTAAGGAGAGAAGGTTGGTCTGAAAGCGCCTCCTGTGAGCAGTTTCTCTCTCCCCTTTCCCCTTACCCCCGCTCAACGGGCTGTTCCCCGACATGTAGGGCGCCACCATCTCCCTCCCCCCCCTCCCCAAACCTCACTGGCTTTTGTGTGTAGATCGTGAGGCTGGGCCAGGCTTGGTGGCGGAGTTGACGAAACTGCTACGTCACATAATCGCATCCGACCCGCACAGGCGCAAGCTGGTTCTTACACCAGCCCTCAAAAAACGAGGGAGAAAGAGGCGAAAACTGGGTGGACGGTTTTCCTGTTTCGATGTTCTGGGGGGCGAGCATGATTCACGCGTTCCTTCCCTAACTTGGGTATATCGCTTAATTGATAATTTTCTTCCTACCAGTCAAGGTGCTCTATTTGCGGATTTGCGCTGGGAAGATGTCCGCCACACCAAACCACGTTTCGCACTACAGGCAAACAGAGTTACGACGCGAAGGAAAGCGCCTGCGTATTTGACTAGGTCTGTGGCACTAGCACTAGCAAGCTGCCCATAACTTCCCGTATTGTTGAAAAAAAAAATACTCGTACTTTTTTCTTTAATATTTTTTGTCATATTGTATTCCTTTCATTCTAATAGTTTTTTTCTTACCACCCTACCCTGGTGCTCTGCTGGGTCACAAAATGTGCAATTGAGAAGGGGATACGGGGTGCATTCAAGTTTTCTGTTTCAGCAGATTTTCTACATCGATTTCATCGTGCTCATTTTCGTGTGTTATGGATAAGGGTATTGTTTGTAACGGCTCGTAAGAATAACTCACTGTGTAGTAATTTTCAAACATTTAATTCTCTTCAATTAAAGCCACCATAGTTATCTTCCTCTTAGTAATACAGCCTTTCTACATGGTAATTTAATCTACGGTAAGGCTCGTTATAAGTAGTAGGTTTATTGATGATATAGTTAGTAGTATGTACAGTGAGTTCAGTCTTCTCAATGGATACGTATAAAGAGATGCACTCTACCTACGACGTCACACTCTTTCGAGGGGAAAGCATAGTCAACTAGAATTAACAAACGTCGGCTAAAATCGTTACTTGAACGAAAAGAGCTGTAAAAATGGTCTGTCGTCTAGCACTAGCAAATTAACATTTTATCACTTTAATCCAGTCTGAATCACACGCTTAAAATAAATGAAAACATCAGCTTTAGGGTCAATTAAGTAATTACTTAACGAGTGTAACGTTAAGACAGATTTTTTAGAATGTATGATTTTGATCCATGCATGATAGTCATATACATACTAGCCCTTCCGAACTCATCAAATCCTGCCATCATTAAGGACACCCGTCGCCTTCTCAAGACGTAACATTCTACATATATTTCTCAGGAACAATAACAATTTGGTGGCCATTTGATAAATGAAGATTAGAAGGGCTCAAGTGTGTTGGAATTTTGGGCAATTTACTAAAACCATCCACAGTTTTCAAGGAATAGTTTACCCAAGTGTGTCCATCCGGACCACCATATTACCTAGTTGAAGCAGACTCTATAGGTCTGGCGGCGAAATACAAAACAAGACCTCACATGGAAAAATAACAATTTCACTACTTACAGTACTTTTTAAAATAATGTTCCTCACTCATAACACATGTTCACAACGCACAGACGAGTTTGAGGCAGGTGACTGTTTGCCGAGTGTTCAAGAAATAAATATCTTAAAAAAAAGAACACGCACTTAAAATCTAATCACACACAACTCTCAAGCGTAGGAAGCCTCAACGCTTTGGGAGCAAAGGAAATAAACACGGTAAGAGTTTATTTCCAAAATAATCGTTACAAGTTTCCTTTTTACAGGTTTCTATCTGCGCAACAGAAATTCACAAAACAATTGTGAAAAAATAAGGGGCCGGGGCTTGTAGGCTTTGGCTCACAAATACACATAATTTAGCCGTACGTATTGAAAAGGGTAACGAAACACGATTGGACAAGTTTTTTTTTATTCTTGTGTGAGTCCCATCTAACCTCCACATTGTATTACTAATGCACATTACTCAACCTCTTGAAACAGTAAGAAAGGAAGCGCAATGACAAAAATATATCTGGCTTAACACTTTTGGCAGCGTAGGAACTTTTGCCACACCACAACTAGAAAAAAGACAGATTTAAAAAAAGCGCAATAGGTGGCCCACCAAGAGTCCTCGCCAAGTCATTTAGCGGGCCACAGGAGGATGGCTACGGAATCACTGATTAGGACCTCGACGGGGAACGGAGGGTTGGCAGGAAGGGAGAAGAATTTGCTTGGCGAGAATGTTTATGGGAAAAGGCAATTGTTCACGAACGTCAAGGCCATGTAACCTGAAGTTCTTTAATGCTATCCCACGTTTTAGAAATGTACCCTCTAATGAAATGCATTAATTATATCGTATAAAATAAGGCAAGACGTATGGACATCGATGCCGTGTTCACTGTGTTTACATTAACGTAAAAATAGGTCTCTCCCCACTGCTGGTAAATAATAACAGGACTTTGGTACAGTTTCAGCCGTCTATCCAAATCCCACATAAATAAGCAGACATTAATGTATTATAATAAAAACGATTGAAGACAGGAAAACAAAACCAATTTTTCTGACAACAAGCATCACTTATCAGTAAATCGAACTACCTATAAAACAAGCGAAAAGCTTGTCTGAAGCCATACGAGTGCACGTCGTCTTATTCAATTGACAATTTATTGTGTCCATGTCACCGCAGATGAATTAATAGTTTTCTTATTTACCGTCTCTGCTAGCTAATATTCAAAACAAGACATGTGAATGTACTAGTTGGTCGAGCAGTCACCCCGTACCCACAGCAATGGCGAAAGGGGCCTACTGCGGCAGGCACTGGCCATCAGAAAATAGGCATTTTGATTTACTGATCTAGATATTTTCTCTTCCACGCAAGATTGTTCAAGAAAATTAAAGTAAAAACAGATCAGCGCCCTTCAATATTTTGTGCGCACGGACAAAACACCAGCCTCGCTTGGCCAGGTGTGACAGCAACAATTCGAGGAACTCTAAAACTTTCGGCTGAAAATAGTGCTCTGCTCGTCCTTGCGCTATTGAGCGTTTTCGGTACTCTCGAGAAGTTGTCTCGTCGTCGACAGTCGTCGGCTCGACAGGACAGCGTGGTGCGGCCGCTGCTTCCCCTCCTGTCTGGTCCGACACACCACGGGTTGAGGTGCGGCTCTAGGCCACGAAGAGCGTTCCGAGCGACCCAGGACGAGTCGGCAGCGGCAGTCACCGACTGGCCAGGACGGCGACGAGCGTCAGCGAGAGGACGCCGAGGATGCGGTGCCGCGGCGCACCGCTGCCCTGCGCCACCGGAGGCCGCACCTCCACGTGCGGCGCCAGCGTGTAGTCGTCGTCGGCCGCCTCTGCGAGAAGGAGAAGCACGTCGTGAGGGCGAAAACCCATCGACAATAGGCAAGGAATCAACAGAAGCTGATCTTCTGAATGGTAAAAAAAAATCCCACATATGACGCATGCCGATAGCCCGGCGGAAAGACTTCCCAAGTGCAACATAGGAAATACGATCTCTAGCAAAGCAGGCATCACAGACGGGCTTGACCACTCGCCCTGCCCGGCTCTACGTGAACGGACAGACGCCGGAAAGAGTGAATATCCTTAAGTGAAGAGCAACTTACCGTCCAGAGTGGTGTCGTCGATGTACGAGTCCGCCCCCAGGACCGAGTTCTCACCGCCGCGCTCCATCTTGAGCGGTTTGACCCGGCCGCGATCTGCAAAGCGAGCAGAACACAAAGAAGGTGAGGTATGCAGAAAAGTGGCAATCTGAAATAAAGTGCGCGTCCTTGACAGACATCCGGCATGTAACGCCTGTACGTACAGTACATGTACTGTTTCCCGACAGCAGCTTAAGTTACTTGGGAAAAGAATCCTCCCCGTTGGACATAATGATAAGCTCTGTCCGCGGACATTTTAATGAGCCTTCGGATATATTTTTTTTTGCCCTGGCTCGCCTTGCACCCTGTCTGGCTCAAGGTGGCTGGCGCCGGCGGCCCCGGCCAGTGGAGCTGGAGAGGACGAGGAGGGTCGTGTTCGGCTCGCAGTTCGCTCCAGATACGACCCTCCTCCTCCTCCTCCTCCGCCCCACTCCGGCAGCCAGCACTCCAGCCAGCCGTGCCATAGAGTTAGGCCCGGCCGGTTTAATGCATAAGCGGGAACATCATCAATATCAATTTCGCGTCGACGGAGACCTAATTCATACACAGCCAGTGTTCCCCGGCTCATCTGCGAGGGGCGCAGCGCGCGCCAGGCAGACGGGCGGGGCTCGCGGGCCCAGCTCGTCGGGCGAATCGCACTCACGTTTTTTCTTGGGCAGCACCGTCGACGACGGCGTCGTGGGCGGGGCCGGAATCTCTGAAAAGCCAAAACAGAGGAGAAAAAAAAATACAATGAATAGGTTAGTATGTAAACGCGCCGGGCAGGCGGACAGAATGTTTCCCCGGCTGGACCGATCGGCGACACACTCGATATCCTCGACACACACATGAATTTGTTATGCGGCAACAGCGCACGGCTCCTGCCCACCCTCCCCCTCAAAACAATAACAAAAAGGCTTCCCTCCGGAAGCAGCAGCAGGGCGGCGCGTTGATTGTTTCCGCGCCAAATGACATGAAGTGGCCTCAGATTATCTCGGGCCGCGAGTGACACTGACGGATTGTCGTGTCGACAGACGGGGCGGGCTGCGCACCAGCGCCTCTGCTGCGGCGGACGCCTGCATACCGCTATGGCTGCCGGAGAAGTGTGTGCGTGTGGGCGAAGAGGGGAGGGGAGGGGGGAGTATTCCATTCCACGGGCGGGCCGGACCACAAGAAGAAAGAAAGAAAGAAAAAGCGCTTGGCTCTGGTTGCGAACACCTGCGCCCGGCCTTGCCGGCCTGTCAGTGGATCCCCCACGGGCCGGCCTACTTGAGGGGGGAGAGGAGAGGGGGGGAGGGGGGGACTCAGCCTCGGGCTCAACGGCGGAATCCAGGACCTAGCCTCTGCAGAGCAGGCCGTGCCAAAGCTACACACACGTACACAGCAAATCAAAGGGCATGCATTTTTATCCACACATGAGACGTGCATAGGTGTGCAGTGTGCAGTGTACATGACTGATTGCACAGAGTGTGCATCGATGTGCATGTAATTTCATGTAAGATCTCAAGGAACACTCACATCTGTAGACATTCACACATTCCCTGGTGCACGCTACCCGGCGGGATACACCCGGTCAAGAACAAGAAGCGCCCCGACCCACAGCAGGGAGGGGCTATGTGCTGCTTTCAATAAGCATCCTTGCTGCAAGAGGAATGCGGGACGTGGCGGGCTTGGCCTCGCAGTGTCTGCATCCCCCAGACGGATAGAGGAGGGGAAGAACGGGGGGTGAGGGGGAGCTAGGACATGATTGATGAATAGACGGCGCAAAAGTGGAGGAGGGTAGGGGGGAAAGATAGACAAGGAGGAAGTGCGTTACGCGACCAGACTCAATCGCGGAGCCCTCCCTGCACAGTTGATTAGGGACAGCGGCTCGGGGGCCTAACGAGTGTGTTGCGAGGCCAGAGGACAACCCCCACGGCAGACCAGTGTTGTTGTCCCTCTCGCACCCGCCTGGGCGCGGGCCGCTATGGCATTGTCCTCCTCTCAGTCTGAATGGGGTTCGTCCAGTGGTCCAGAAAGTACGTCCGGATTTTCACTTGTTCCATTCGGCCAATGATGAGGGCTCGGCGCCTGCAAGACTCCGGGTAGGCAAGCCCGCAGTACGCGCATGCACTGCAGGCGAGATGTCGCCTACCTACCAGGCGTTATCAGAGGTTGGAGGAGGCTGAACTTGGCAGGTTCGCAACGGCGAATGGTGGACATACTTTTTGGACGATCATTAATGTGCGTGTCTTGAATGAGTTGTAAACTAAAAAGGGGATGACAAAATATAAAAACAAAAAACAGATGAGAAATTGGGAATAAAGTGGGTCGTGGTACAAAGTTACTTTGGGCAACGTAGCGGGTGGAAATTAAAGAAAAAAATAAGACTTAAATACAAAAATATCTTCCTTCCGCTCCCATGTTTTTAAGTACTAAATGCACACTGTATCCGTGCTTACCGTCGAGCTTGATGACGCCATCCGTCTCGCCCAGCGAGTTCTTGGCCACGCACTTGTACGAGCCGAAGTCGTCGGGCCCCACGTTGCGTATCTTGAGCAGCATGTACTTGTTGTAGCCGTTGTCCGTCGACACCGCCTCGTACTTATTGCCTGAAACATGCATGTCTGCGCGTCAGTCAGCACAGCTGAAGAGTGAAACAGCTTTTTTGGGTTGGTGGCTTCAGCGGGGTTTATTATCCGGCTAATTGAACAGATCCGAAGGTAAAAAAAAGAGAGAGAGAGCAAGAGAGGGGCCGGGCATTTCGAGGCAGCCTTCCTCGTACAGTTATCGCTCAGCCAAAGAGAGCGTGAATAAAGTTGTTACAGAAGGAAGGGTGTATAGCGACGGAACGAGAGGGAAATGTGGGGAGAGAGGAGGGAGG